CTTAACTGACCCTATCTGAATTGCATTCATTCCATTCCTCTGGTGACTAAGATGTATCACAGCATAATGACACTTACATGGTGGTTACCTTGGTGTAAGTCTGCCAGATGCTTCCAATTAGAGTAACTGAATTATTCTTTGGGAAAAAAAAGAGGATCATTAAATACATGAGACCCCTCTTTTCTCTTAGGAAGCAGAGCACAGGGATGCCATCAACTTTGTGTTTGCTGACTGAGCATCTTGACAGAAGGCAGTATCACAGAACATCAGCTTCTTAATTATTTCTAAGCTTCAGAATGAGTTGCAAAATTATAATGTGGCAGGGAAAGCCTTGTGGCATTGGCTAGGAAATACCTTTCTAAACAGGTGAGGTGAGCCCAAAGTATGTGTAGCAGAGAAATGATACTGCTGAGAACAAGACACTGTTGGGTCCTGCTGGATTCCCTTTATGGCCATGACTGCGCAAAAGAATATATATACATTCATATCTATCTATTTCAGTTGGCAAGGGCAGGATTTGCAGATTATAACCCTGATCTTACCCACTCTTCACTCACCCTATTATTCTATTTTCTTGGATGCCAACCTGGGCTTACTTCTTATCTATGCTTTGGTGTCTCCTCATTAGCTGGATATATTTGTGGAAAACTCACTGAGACACTGAGTTGAGAGGTCTGGCCCATCTTCCTGTTCAGTAAAATTAAAATAGCATTTAAAAAACCCAGTCACAAACGTCTGTTTAATAATTCTTGATTGCTGCCTTGAGACTAGTTTCAATATTTCTGAATATTCAATGCCTGGAAGCTAGTGCAAAATGACTATCTAAAACTGCCAGAAATTTGCTTCCTGTGGTTCTGAATGTGAAAGCAGGAACTTTGGGGCAGCCTCGTCTATTCCTTTGTGAAGGATCACATTGGCGGGCCATCTCTGTCGTGCCCTTGAGGTAGCTCAAGACTTGGGAGAATCATCCAAAAGCAAATACTTTGTAATGGAATATTAAATATTCTGCTTAATAATATAAAAGGCTGTCCCACGTGGTGAGGAACATTTCTACAGATTTTTTAAATGAAGTGTTTAGCATTTCTCCTGACCCACCTGAAAGTAGGATTTGAGCCTAGTGGGTGGGGTCTGGGACCGAGGGAGCAAAGAGATGGGAGAAAGAACTCCCATTGGCTAATGGGCTGAGGAGGTATCAACTCTGTAACCAGACAAGCTAGTGTTTGGGATCTATTTCCAGAAAAAAAGGGGAGACCTACCATTAAGACATTAGTTAATTAGCATATGAATATCCTTGAGCATTCTTTATGCACCACTGAAGAAATGTGCTGTTTGAAGTATCTACTGAAGCTCTGTAGAAAGCCCAGGGATAATGCCTTTTCCATCTGACACAGTCCTCTGACCTTGCCTTATAGCCCCATGGGTGGCCTCCCTTCTGATCAGTTCTAGGTAACAATCACACTGGTCAAAAGTCTACCTTGCAAGTGACAGTAATCCCAAAGCATACCACCTTATCTAGAAAGGGGTTTCCCTGTCTACTCTGCTTCCCTTCCATTGCCCCTATTTCTTCACAATGAAAAAAGGTTTTTTCTATGTGATAGATTCAAACTCTCCTGACTTCATGGCCTCCTAGCTCCTGGACATCAAAGGTTCCAACCAGCAAAATTCAGGGAAGAACTCTGGCCCAGCCTAGATCATATACTCACTTCTGGCTCAACGACTGAGAAGAAGGAGGTATTGTGATTGGTCTGATTTGAGTCATGTGCTCACTTCTGTGGCCAAAAGAATGAAGTACTGCCCTGATTTCCAACTGCTAGCTCACTTTGCCCATGACCATGGCAGGTTGCAAGTGCTGAGGAGTTTCTTTCTCCCAACCCTCAATCAATGACTAATAGGGGTTAGAGAATACATACTAAGGTGCTCCTTTGCCCTGTGGTGACAGAATTCTGAGACATGCATTCCTCATCAACATACCAGAATTCCAGAGTGGGATTAAACTCCAGTTTACAGTTGCCTCTTGGTTGGCATTGCACTCCTTATGTGCTGCTTTTTCTTCCCTATTTCACTTCCCCTACCCCTTTAATATTCTTTCCTGAGATCACCTCCTATTTATGCTTGCTTGCTCTTGAGTCCTTATCTCAGTGACTTCTTCTGGGGAAACCCAAACAAAGGTAGTTACCATAATTGGCAGCTTGTCTAATGACTCAAATGGGATGAAGCAGGGGGCCAAAGGAAGTGGTGGTTCTGAACACACAAAAACAGTAGCTGTCCACTAGAAAACATGTATCATGAGGAAAAGCACAGAACAGAAAACAATGAGAACTTACAGTAAGCCACTTCCAAATGGACAAAAATCTGGACACAAAATATATCTGGCCTGATAATGCCCAGAGGAAGCAGACAGACCTCCCCGGCAGGTTGCTCTGGAAAGGAAATGTCACAGGATCCTGGGGTCCGGGGTACAGTGAAAGCTGTACCTTATACAATTCCTTTTCCACCATTACTTCACTAATCTTCAGGCTCCTGTGCCCCAGCTGAGTCTTAGCCAAAAAGCTATTGTGGGAGAATGCTATGCCTGCCTTCTCAAATGCTGGCCACAGGCTGAATGCTTGGTTTATCTTTTACATTTCCATTAGACAGTTGGGCTTGTGTGATGGCCTATGCATGTGCAATGATAAAAATACTCTCCTTATCTCTGTGCCTCAGCTGTGGAATTCCTACTTCTTTTCATTTATGTTTATTGGTTTCTAAATCCCAGCTATTCCATGCATGTCATGGGTTCAATTGTCTAGAAGAAGCACTTAAGAGAGAGGTTCAGAGCAAGAGACTTGAGGGAGTGCCTTTGAGGTCAAACACACAAACACACGCATGCATACCTCTAAGGTTATGAGGAAAACAAAAATGTTAAAGATAAAGGAGTCACACTTAAGGATCTCAGTCTCAGATAAAGTCTAGATTGAGGCTGTCAAACTACAGCCCTTGGACCAAATCCAACCACTACCTGTGTTTCTAAATTAAGTTTTATTGTCATACAACCACACCCATTAATTACATAATGTTTATTCTGCTGCTTTCTTACTACAAAGGCAGAGTTGAGTAGTTACAACAGAGACTGTTGTAACTGGATGACAAAGCCTACACTATTTACAATCTGGCCCTTTACAGAAAAATATGCCAACCCCTGCTCTACACTTGTCCCAGTCCTTGGGAGCTCTGTGATATCCATTGCTCCATAATTCATACCCACCTTGAGGCAAAGGGCTGGTCTTCTTACCTTAGTGTCAGCCAGACATTTGTTGCTAACCACCCCAGGTGGTGAAGGTGAGGTGCATTAAGCACACTAAGCCTCGGGTCATGGCTCCCTTCAGCCTAGAGAGTGATTCTCTGGATACTAGGAGCAGCTGTGAGCTGTTCCCAGGAGCTGAGAAATGGGTACATGTGCTGGGAATCTTTCAAGGCACCACCAGCATGTAGTGCCAAGTTTATTGGGATTTGCACATGTGCTTCATGAAGTTGGAAAGAATCCACATTTCCTGCCTGAAATGGAGCCATGATTATGCCACCTTGACCCCTGTCTCCCATTTCACTCCTGCCTCCATTCTATTGCTATCAGGGTGAAGATGGAAACCCTTCCCAGGGTCTACGGGGACTGCCACCCTCTCTAGCCCCAGCTTGTCCTATCTCCCACATCCTGCCCTCCAGCCATGCCTGGCTAAAGGCCAGGGAGTGTTTTTCCAGTCTCTGAGAATGAAGTGTTTTCTCCAGCTCCTCATGGATCCTGTCCATGCTGTTTCCTCTGCCTGCAATAGCCTCCCCAGCACCTTCTACCTTCTACCACACTTAACAAATCTGTATCACTCGATCTCAACTCAAAATACACTTCCTCAGAGAAACCTTCTTGAAACTCTCTCCCCACAAATCTCATTTTCCAAAAGTAGCCAATATTCAGTTTTTGTGTCTTGACATATGTTTTCTGTCTTTGTAAACCATAGCATACAAAAATATGCATAGATTTTCTTTTCTTTAGCCAAAATGCTATACTATTTTCTTTGCTTTGCCATTTTCTTTCTTCCTCTTAACAATATAAAACCCTAAGACACTATCCAATTTGACATGGATAGAGTTAACAGATTTTCAACTCATTTTTTCTAATGAATGAATGATATCCCATCATATGCATGTATATGCTAAATGCACAATATGGAGGTACAATAATTTATTTAAGAATTTTGTGAGCATGGATTATATTCTAGTTCCTAAATTGGGCGGTGGGTTAATAACTTACATATATGTGTATGTATATTTGGTATATATATCAATTACTACATAATTTAAAATGAAACAGTGAAGGAGAATAAGAGAATGAACAAGATCAAAAGTAGAATGAATGATCAAAAGTAGTAAAATAAAATAAATGAATATTAAAATTAAAAAATTCCCATACTGATAGGAGTTCAGATTATTTCTCTGTGTGTGTTTTTTCACTTTACAAACAATGGTGCACAGAATATCTCTGAACAAATATCCTTATATTATGGGCTTATATTTCTGAATGCTCAGTCCCTAGAATGGTATTATTTGGTCAACATACACATGCACTTTAAATTTCAACACCCACTCCCAGATTCCCTTCTGCAAATACAGCGAATTGCACGTCCACCATCAGTTTATGGGGCTGCCCAATATCTTTGCCAGTGTTGGTGTCTTTCAATCTTTTTAATTTTTGCCAATCTCTTGGCAAAGGAATAGATTCTCATGTTTGTCCTGACTTGCATCTCCTTGACTATTACTGAAGTCGCTTACCTTTTTATTCATATATTGTTTTGATAACCAATAGTCCCTACAATGATTGATCCTGAGGTGTCTGCATATCCTCTGCTATTGTTTCTCTCACGTCTCCAAAGGATCATGAGTTTTGGTCTCAATGACTATGGCAATGTGGTGGGGATGGGCAGAAGGATCTGCACTGCCTGTGACCACTCTCTCTGTCTCTTCATTTCCAGACTCTACCCAGATGAACAACGCAGTGCCCACCTCCCCTTTGCTGCAGCAGATGGGCCATCCACACTCATACCCCAACCTGGGCCAGATCTCCAACCCCTATGAACAGCAGCCTCCTGGCAAAGAGCTCAATAAGTACGCCTCCTTGAAGGCTGTCGGTAAGTGACACTTTGTTTCTCCTCTCTCTCCCCTACTTATCTGTTCTTTCCAGATCTCTCTCTCCAACTTTGTTGTACTCTCTTTTCTATCTTTCTAATTTCTCTCTTTCTTCATCTATCTCTCAAAATCTGTCTCTTCATTTCTCTTTCTGTCTCTTTTTCTCTTTATCTATCTGTCATTCTGCCTATCTATATATTCTGGGTATCTCTACCTGGGATACAGTTTACTAAGGACCAGATCAAGACCTACCTTGCTGTGTGGGGCAGGATGGGTGAGCAAGGAGACATGATGGGACTTTCTCCTGGGGAGGAGGGTTTGTGTGCTTGTTCGGTCCCACTGACACCACAGCCCCTCCATCATCCACCATCTGCCCTGGTGAACCCTCAGGTAATCTAGACAGAATCCAGGACACTGGGTCTCTAAATGCCTTCTCCTTTAGTGGGTAGCATTTATTATCCACACAGTCATCCTATCTCTTAGAAGCATAACATCCCTATCCCAGGAAGCTTCTGCTTTTCAAGATGTAAATATTTACTGGGGTAAGCAGCCTAGAGCTATTAGTAACTGAGCTCTTATCAAGCGTAAGACCTTGCATTAGGCCTTTTATACACTGTCTCATTCTTACAGTGATCCAAAGATGAAGGCACAATTATTGTCCCAATTTTCAGATTAAGAAATAAGACCCAAGGAGGTTATTTTAACTTTCTCCAAATCGAGCAGACTGTGGGCAACAGAGCTGAGTTTTTTATTACTTTGTGTTTTTATTACTCTGGAGCCTATGCTCCTGCCACTACCCTCTCACAGCCCTGGTCTTCCTTCAGTCATTTCCTCCTCACTCGTACATGAGGGAGCATGTCAGTGACCCAGGACCCGCAAGAATGTACTCAGCAGACTTCTATTGAATGAAAGCAGCAGCCACAGCTAAGTCAGACTTTGGGCAAACATAAGACCACGTGCTTGCTTTTATTGTCAGCTTCTACCTGCAACTTCCAAGCCCCTCATTAGAGATGCAATGGGGGACACTAGCTGACTGATGCCAGTATGATGCCAGTTTATCTAATGGTGTTATACACTTGCACCAGAAACCACAGGGCAGACACTGTCATGTGTCTATGATGCTTGCCATGGTTGCCATGGTCCACAAACATCAGGCTCACAAAACAACCATAGTGGTGCCCAGCAAAGAGCCTGGCACATACTAGGAACTTAGTAAGTGTTTGAACCAGAACTTTATCTTTAGAAATTTATGTTCCCAGATCTCCTAGGACTTCTGGATGGAAACATTCAAAGAGGGGTTGAGCCAAATTTATGATACCAAGGATGGAGGTTGTGCAGACTGGCACAGGCTTTTCTAAATCTGAAGCTTCATAAGATCTTACACACCAATTCTCTATATTTCATGTTGAATTTCTATACCCATTTCAACCCTCATCTACACCCTATGACCACAGATTCCTCTGTCCCATATTGTGTGTTTGCATAGCATATGCATCTTAAGCATGTTCAAATAGACTTTACTAGGAAGGGATGAGGGCTGTTGCCTAGGAGAAAAAAAAGTCAGGGCATCTGTGCCGATATAACTGTGGAAGCTTCATGCACTATTTGGTGGCCTGCCTCCCTTTCTGATCCTTGCATTTAGGTAATAAATAGTGTCTGCTCTTATATTTGATTCTTTGTTTGGCACTAAAAAAATCACTCCAGATGTCTTTTTCTGTTTGAACTGGTCACATTACCTTAAAAAACTCATTTGTTCAATTTCGGCTCAGTGTCTCATGCCCTCCCCTCTTCAAAATCCATTATCTCTTGGGGTAAATAATGGATGGATATTAGCACAGAGTTCTTTGATTTCCAAGTTCAGGATTTATTCAGGGCCCTGTGCAGAGCAAATGTCTGCAGTGCAGTTGGAATTAAATTTGCAGTATGAAAATGTATTTAACACTCTTTGAATAATCCTTTCTTCTACAAAGGAAGAACTCCTGAAAATGTATGTTGAATGAATGAATGAACTTGTCTTTGACAAGAGTCCAACAATAGCATAGTCGGAAGGATGCAGCACCTCTATGTCTTCTAAAAACTGTAAAGGATCTCACTTGGGAAACGCTCCCCAATCCTGGATATGGTTGGTATGACCTTCTACTCCATCCTTTTTTTCTTATTATTACGGGAGTCCACAGTCCTTAGCTGAGTCACAGATGGTCTTGTGAACCTCTAGTGAGTGGAGGTCCAGTGAGGAGCTGACTGAGGGACTGCCTGACTCAATGGGTTACCAAGGAGTCCAGCGTCTGCCTGCACAAATGCCATGCAAATCCCATAATGAACATTCTTTCAAGGGTTCTTCATTAAGTCACAATATGACCATGGTGTGAATGATGAAATTCATGTCATTAATGAAATCATTACTACCCAGGGGAAAAGTTGTTTAAAAAATGGTTTGCTGTTAAAGACTCAGCAACCTCTGATAACCAGACTCGTTTTATACAAATATCAATTCATTAAATAAGAGGAGACTGAGGCTTAGACAGCTTTTAGAGTGAACTGCCAAGTTTAGAAATTCCTCTGAAAAGTAAATTTCTCTTGGTGGCTTTAATGTCCAGAACATCAAGTGGGTTTGCAGTAGTCACTGAAACTCTCTGATGCAACTTTCTTAATTTGAAAAATGAGGAAGCTGAATTATGTGGTCTCTAAGCTCCCTCCATTCTGATTTTAAAATTAGAAAATTAAGTAAGTCCACTCATTCTAGTTTTTAGAATACCTGTGGGCCAGCCTTTAAATTGTCGTGCTCATTCACTTTGAATCTTGGGGAGAAGAGGGTAGTAACTGTTGTTTTTTCCTTTTATTTAGTTTTAATTTTTTATTTGCTTGTTGAAATTACATTCATTTATGCTCAAAGAGAGCTCTTTTCTATCTATAATTTAGGAATTTGGGCATGTAATATCTGCTTATACATAGCATGTGACTACAGAATGATCTCTGTTTCCAAGGGCTTCACTGCCCAGTTATCGGTAAAAGATTACCAAACACTAGAGAAATGTCAGAGGCTAACCTCACTGGACTCTGTACAAGAATGAGCAATGCGATTGACTTACCATTTGTTCAGTTCATTCATTTATTCAGTCAATCATTCATTTATTCAATCCCCAAACATTTCATACGGTGTCCCTTTATTGCAGGTCTCACTGAGGCATGAACCAGGTCTGCCCCACTCATCACTGTATCCGCAGCATCTAGCACCATATGGGGAACTTGATAAGTGATCCCAATACATGTTTGTAAAACCAGTGAATAATACCATGTGATAGGCACCGCATCAAATCAGGTGCATGAGGGAATCAGCTAGGTGGCAGAATGTCACATGGCCTCTGCAACTGGTCAGGACTAAGTTTAAGATCTAGTTCAGGCGTTTTCAAATAATTGAAGAAATTACTTAACCTCCTGAAATCTCAGTTTTCCCATCTGTAGAATGAAGATAATAAAGTACACAGCTAATTGTTGTTGGAAAGATTTAATGATGTAGTGCATGGAAAGTGCTTGACCTGGTCTCCAGGCAGTTCTTAGTAAATTTTGCCACATATTAAAATCTCTAGACCAGAGTTGTTTCTTTCTCACATTTTTCTTTGAATCGTCAAAATAAAATGGTACCTTGATTAACATACAATTGCCCGGATTGCACTTTGAAGGAAATAGTTAGATCCACATCTTTCATTCATTTGGAAGGGAAAGACATGCATGAAAGCAAACTCACCTCGGGAATCTCATGAAGTAAACAAAGCAAGTAAGCCAACAGCACATGACTTTTCCAAGGACCAACAAAGAGGCAGCCCACACCTCTTTGTTCTCCCTCCTGGACGGCAAGGACCCTGCTCAGGTGAATGGCTATAGTCTATTAAAGGAAGATTCTGTTTCATTCAGTAAAACCTCCTTACTAAGTCAGAAATGTGGGTTCAAACATTTTAGAACTATTTTCCCTAAAGACTGAAGTTGAGAAGTGTTTCTTGTGATAGACGGAGCCAAAATATCACCTAAAATTTTAGTTAAGCACACAACTTCTCTGGCCTGAGCGACCCATGTGAGGGGTGGTTCCAATGTGAAGACCCACTTTATGGTTCCTCATAGGTCGGTGTTTACAAGACAGAGGTGTTTGTCAAAATATCTCCAAGTGTCACCTGATAGTTCAGAGAGGGGTTAATCCTGCTTCCAGAACTGGTGAAATACTACCTTGTTTAAAATTATAATTCCTAGTGGGCTTTGCAAACAGAAAATTGCTCCCACATTTCCATTTATCGCCCGCCCATTGGCCCCAAGTCCAGTTTTTCCTCAAGGTGTCTGAGAGTTTAAATCATTGGCTGCCAAAGGTTCCTGAGGATGGGCCCTTTAGACGCTTCACTGCAACTTTGGTTACCTAGTGAGAGAGACAGGATGAGCCAGCATGATTGATAAATGCTGTGGGACCTTCATTTTTAATTCAAAATTGTAACAAGAAAATATTTTCTTTTTTACGATTTGACAGATGATGGACTATTTTGCTGGAACCCTGTTACATTTTCCAATAGCACTTTTTAAAACCATAGCAACAGCACACTAAGACATGGTGGGACTTCCTTTGTCACTCTTCTTTTTGGTGTGAAAACCCTAAGTGATGCATAAGGACATCAACCGTGTACTGACCTCTGCTAGTTACTTTTTATTTTAAGATATGGCAGAAAGGGAGCTAGAACCACTGAACTCCCAAATACTACATATCTGTGTTAGTCTCAAGATTTTGCAGATGGGGAAAGTGAGGCTCCCGTATAGTTGAGTAAGTTTCCCAGAGTCACACTTTTAGTAGATGGCAGAGATGAGAGTCATATTCAGGATTGCCTAATTCAGAATCCTATGTTCTTTCTACAAAATGATGCTGTCATTTCATAGAAAGACAGCAATTTCTGGCATCAAAAGGACATAACAACAACAAAAAAGATGGAAGAAGCCCATTTTCCTCTTTTTGTAAGGGAAGACTTACAAAAACTGTTTTACATTAACTGTTTTTCATTGTTTGATGGCAAAAGTTTTCCCATGATGATGCATATAATTGAGATAAACATATTTAAAGTATACTCTAGTTGAAGTATAATTTACACATAGTGAAAGTACACAGATCATAATTTCATAACTTTAGAATAGTGTAACTACTGAAATATACATACCCTAGGGTAATCAATATCCCAGTAAGGGTAAGAAATATTTCCCTCTCTCAGAAAGTTCCCTCATGCCTCCTTCTCAATGCCTTAGGCCCATCCCTTTTTAAATAAGAATTTAACTTGCCATCCCCAAAATACTTATCTAATGTGCAGTAGTGCCACCAAGTACACAGTGAAACCTTAACTATATGTTTTGAGAGCCTAGGTGCTGTCTGATTAGGTGCCTTTATTAGCAATGGATTTATGAAATAAAACTCGTCATTGCCTTGCTGGAGCTAAGCCCTGGCTTAGGCGGTGGGACAGGGGTGACTCCAGCGTGGCTCCTGCCTTCAAGGCAAACTGATGGATTTGACTTGGGAGTGCAGTGGCTTCTTTGAGGTCAGTGGCTCAGTGATGGCCAGGCTTGCTTCCACCCACACAGGAAGATCTGGGGCCACATCACTATTTCCAGATGTCAATGACGTCGGCTTAGAGGAAGAAGAAACATGAAGTCATCTCAGGCGGGTCCCACTTAATTTTAACTTTGTCACTCTTTTCCTGTCACTCCAATTTCCCCTCTGCTGTGAATGATGAGGGTGTAGAGTTCATATCCGCAGGGGAAATGTGGCAATTTGAGCCTCCTTTGGCATGCCTGAGAGGTCAACCAGAAATGTTTAAATGGGGCCAGATTTGTGCCCTGTAATCATTCAGATCACACACTGTTCCTTTCGTCTGCTCTCAGCTGGCAGCCTGATGTATCTCTGGAAAATATGCAGAAATGTTAAGAACTTGGTCTGTCCAGGTAGATTCTTAAGAAAGAAAAGGGGAGCTGGTGGTGGACACTGATTGGTCAGACCTGCAGCCAATGAGCAGTAGCTGCTGCAAAGTCACGCGGGCAGGTTTGCCCTGCTTTGAGTAAAACCCTATCTTACAGAGAAAGTCTACCAAGGACAAGCATAGGTTGCATGCCAATAGCCATCTTTTACCTTATGAAAATGGTCCCCATGGGGTTCTGCTAATAATGTGAGTCCCTCAGTGCACATTCAGAACCTCTGAAATGGAATTCAATTTGGAAAAACTGATATATAACCACAAATTCAGGCATTATAGAATTCTCAGATGACCAGCTTAGCTTTTAGGGGAATTGGTGTACCTTAGGAAAAGTGACACCTTGGAGAAACTTGAATGCATTCATTCATTCAACAGTATTTTTCAAACATAGCGGCCACCCAGCATTTAAAGTTGCAGTCAGCAGGGTCTGCCCCTACCTTGAATTTGACACTAATAATGCATCTCCTCACCTTTTCAGGAGGGGGATTATGGTAAAAGAGGATCAAAATTTATCTCTTTTCAACAGAGTGTTGTCATTAACCAAAGTCACCTCAAGTAACTCAGATTTTTCTCTACTTCTTAAATAGTTGAGATTTAGAGCTAGTCACTGCCTAAGAATTCTCTCTCTTTCTTCACATTACTGAAAACATCTAGGCCTTTTGCAGGGGGCCTTCTTTTGAACCTCTGCAGGCTTTGTCTTGCAACTGCTTCAAGGCCTTGCAGAAAGAGGTGCTCATACTATTTAATTTGCACATTTGGTTTTTTGCCCTGTTCCCTGTGTCCCCTGAGGCCTGGCCCCCTTGGAGGCTCCAGCTGGGGCCTCCAGCAGCACCTGGGTGTGAGGGCAGAGCAAAACCAAGAAGCAAGAAACAGATCAGCATCTCTCAATTGTTATTTTTTAGGAAGCTCTGATGGTGACTGGGCAGTGGCGACACTTAAGTCACCAAAAGGTACCGTATGGCTTTTTCTAGCTCTCTTGTACAGGTGTTGTCAGATTTGATATTTATCAGTGAAAGCACAGAGAGTCCTGGTATCTGTCAATGACCAGTGCACATGTGTGTCCGTGTTGGGTGGACCTGCAAGTCCGTCTAAGTTCCAGTGTATAGGTGTTGTGTGTGTTTGTGTGTATGTGCATGTGTGTGTTGAGGGGGAGCCTGGTGTGCTAGGAGCCCATTGTTGAAGAATTACTACTTTGCACTTCCCAGTATATGTTGCCTGAAGGAAAATGTTACTCCCAGAAATCATCCCAGGTAAGACCTCCAGGAAATGTTGCTTTTTCTCAGAAAGCTACTTAGGGAAAATGGCAAAAGTAAATTAATGCAGGAAAAAAACACAACTTCTGAAGGAGAGATAAACAGAGAGACAAACATTCCCAGGGTCTTGGGAATGATTAAGCTTTTAGGGAACAGCACGCTATTTTCAACTTTCCTGATATAGCATCAAAAGTTAAGGAGCTGGTTGACCTGAGCCTGTTAACTAGCTGGGTGAGCAGGAGGAGGTAGCTATAGCTTGTTACCTCCCTACTGTGTGCCAAAATGCTATGTTATCATTTAATTCTCTGATGACCCAGTGGTGTAGGGTTACATTCCCCTTTGAAGATAAGGACTTGGGTATCTGAGTGAGCATGTCTCAATTGCCTGAAGTCACAGGGCTGCTAAGTGCTAGTGCTGTAATTTGAACCTGTGTCTGTCTGCCTGAGTGTAATGCCTAAGTTTCTTCCCACTGGGGTGTGATGGAAGCATATCTTTTCAGAACAGACCTGAGATTTATCTCCTCTTTTTCACTCCTGGTGCTTTGTTGGATTGGTTGTGGGGAGGCTGTAGCTAACCCAAAGAGGTGGAGGTAGAACTGTTTAGTGACCTTGAACGGGGGAAATTAGAAGACATTCCAGGACCCTAGGCAGGATAGTGGCACAACCCATTTTGTATTCTCAAAAGATAGTTCTGGTTTCCAAGTGGAGACTGGATTAGGAGAGAGTGGACTGGCACTGCTGACACCCACCGGGAGGTCCTCAAAATCATCCAGGTGGACAGTAACCTGAACCGGGGTGGGTAAAGGAAGGAGAGAAGAAAATAGAGTGGAGGGATAATTAAACTGTGGAGTATAGTGAATGACTGTGTGTGAATGGGGAGAAGGGAGCAGTGGGCCCACCAGAGGCTCACTCATCTGAGCCATCTGAGCACACCTCAGCACACCCTGGAGGGTTGTTAAAACCCAGATCCCTGGGCCCCACCAGAGATGCTGATTCACCAGGCCTTGGATGGTGCTCCAATGGGTTGAATTGCTAACAGGTGATACTGGGGTGATACCCGGGTGATCCTGATTCTGGGGTGATACTGATGTTGCAGGTCTGGGGACCACATTTTGAAAATCACTGCAGTAGAGAAATTTTGTTTGGAAACTAAAACCTTTTGCTTAGGTCTCCAGGTATCTTATGTGGGCTGAGGGTTCTGAAGAGGGGACTTTGATCACAGTCCCAGAGGCTCAGAAACAGCCTGAGCTCTTGGAGGGTGGGCAGTGAGAGAGGAGGGAAAGGGACTACACTGCATTCCCATGTCAGGGGACAGAGCTTTAGATCCAGGTGTCTAATGAGAGCCTCTTGATTACTCAGTTGTTGCCTTGAGGAGGCAGATTTTTGGGTCTTGCATTAAATAATAACTGTTCACATGTCAATGTCCATTTTTAGAAATGCAAACAATTTGGAACATGACAGACCTACTAATTTGAGACATAAACTTTTTTTCCCTTCCCTGTGAAAAACAAAGCCATTATGATTCCCGTGACAGCGTTTAGAGGCAGTCAGCACCCCTGGCCTTATATCAGCCTGTTGTTGTCTGATTCATTTAGAAAATAGTTCAAGTCAGGTCAAAAGCAAGGTCTTAGAAGCTGTTTTTCTACCCAAACTGGGCTAATTTCACCTGTACTGCTAAGTGCACCTTTATTTATCCTGCCTGCTAGAGATGAGAGAAGGGGGCTGAGTTCCCCGGGAGCCATTGATCTCCTTTAGCCAGTAGACCCGGAGTCCTGAATCTCTGTGAGGCATGATAACAAGGCTGGGGAGTTTGTACGGCTCCTGCCTCCCACACCCTCCCACCTTCTTGAGTGAGAGACATAAGCAGGGTGTGATGGGCTTAGCCTCAGACACACCTGTGTTTCAGCTGTGGCTCCATCATTTGGTATTCTTGTTACCTTCCACAAGTCACTCAACCGATCTGAGCCCCGAGTTTTTTGATCTATAAAATGGAGACAACACCATGTAAGAATGAGATGAGACACTGTGTATAACACATGTCACAGTGCCTGGCATATAGAAAGTATATATGCATGAAGGCCATTTCTGATATTATTACTATTATTATCAGGAGAATTAATGAAAGGCTCTGAAAAATCTTGTGGTAACAAAAACTCAAACTCTTTATAAACCATCATTTTCCAAACATAATTGATGTCTGATTTCTTCAGGAAAACCAGTTAGTATCTTAACACCCAGTGGCAGGAATATTGCTAGGAACCCACTTTGGAAACATGGGGAATGAGCAGAGAAATGGGCAGTGTTACCTGGGGAGGCTGGATAAGGAAGGAGTAGCTGTGAAGAAGAAAGGACAATGTCTCTCATGGTACAGGGTTTCTGCTTTTACCCACATTGACTGTAAGTCATTTTGGAAGTAACTCTATCAGCCAGGACAGGAAATGGCAAATCTTCAGAAGTGATCATAGAAGAGTACCAATTTGCACTCTTCTATGATCATCCTGAAGGTTTACCATGCAGGTCGCCCCCTAGTGGTCATTGCTGTTGCTCCACCCGTGTCCAACCTGGGGAACTCCTGGCATATTTGTTTGAAACCCAGGACAGAAGACACAACCACCTCAAGCCCACTGGACTCTCTTAATTAATATGAAGGAATGTCTTTTGAAACCTGTTCATTTTGCAAAATGAATCTTTGAACCTGACCTGTCCCTTAGTCTAGTGCTGCTGCGTTGCAACACTGAACTTAGGGGAAACTGCCAGCATAGTACTGTGATTTAATTGCTCTGGCTCTGATCGGAATCAGGCTGTATGCAAGCCACTCACATGCTCAGCACATCCATTTCTACCATTTCCAAAGCAGAAGCAATGATAATATCCATTGGGTTTGGAGGAGTAATTTTATGAAACAATGCAAGCATTGCATTTCAATGAAGACAATAAAGAAAATACATTTCACTCAGCTTTTCTGCTTTTGCAGATAAAGGAACTGAGTCCCCCTGAGGTAAATGATGTTGCTCAAAGTCACACAGGAGAATTACATCACACCCAGGACCAGGACCCAGGCTTCAAGAGTGGCTTAAAGACTTGACCCAAAATTACTAGAAATGCTTACTAGAAGTATAACTCTTAGGCCCACCCAGTCCTAAGGAACTGGAACCATTGGGTGAGGGGTCTCCACATTTTTTTCATTCATTTTTAAAATGCACCTCTGGATAATTTTATGGACACTGAAGTTTGAACCTACCTTTTTTTAAGACCCAATCCTAGATGCAAACATAATTTGCCCTTGAACACCAACTTTTACATGCCAGCATTCCTCCAGATGTGATTTTTTGTTGTTTGCTAAAATAAAACTGTTTCTTAGTTGGGGTTTGAGCTGGGGCTACAGCTGGAAGATAAGGTGCTGGAGGTGGATAGTCTTGGATTAGCTGTCTTACTCTACTACCTATTATCTGTGGCAGAATAATGTAGCAGCCAAATCACTTCATATCTCTGGGGCTTGGTCCTCATCTATCACATGGAAAAATGATATTGTCTTGTCACCTGTCTTAATTGGGTTTAAATGAGATAATGTTGGTAAAATGGCTAAAACAGTGTTTAGTACATAGTAGAGACTCAATAAACCTTAGTTATTCCTCTTTCCTAAGAAAAGTGATATAGTTTAGTGATAAACGTTCATCCAAGAGGTGCTACAGAAGATACAAGGCAAAGAAAATGTGTAAATTGGGTTACAGTTCTGTTGGAGTGCAGACCTCTTGGGGAAGAACTCATCTAAAAGCAGCCTTAAAACATTATTTCATGAAATTCAGTCTTTAGACATTTTCTAATTTGGGTTATTGGTTTGCTGGTGAGCTGGTACAGAGCAGGTGGGGGATAAGGAGGTGAATTTTTAAAATAAAAATCAAATCCCATCAGCTACTGAGTTCAGCCTCTTTTGAAAACCACACAGCAAGCACTGAAATTTTGATGAACTTCCTTGGGAACCTATAGCGCATGAAGTCAGTCAGTGGAGGAGATTCTTTGCTGGGTAGAAAATTCCATTGCAGCAAGACTGAAACAAGCATTTGAGTCATTTGAAAGTATGTCTCTCTGAAGCTAAGCCAGCTAAATCTCATTCATTTCAAACTTCCCCAACACCTTGCATGGTGCCCACAGCACATTGTAGATAGCCAACGTACACTTTATTAGTAAATTAGGAAGTGAAGTTGGGCATCCTGTTGTCTTTTCTGAAGAGGCACTGGGATATAGCAGCAAAATCAATCAGATAGAAGTCAGGAGAACTGTATTCTAGACCCAATGCTGCTTCTACACTATTGGTGTCCTTAAACCATAGTAGCTTCAGTTGCTTACACTATAAAATGGAAAATTTGGATCATTGATCTCAATAACCCTTTCTTTCTAAGTAAAAATCCCAGGCTTTGCTCTGATTGACTTGCTTTGTCATGTGCCCATCTCTGAACAAATCATTGTGATAAGGGCAATGATATGGATTTTTTTGTAGTCACTGAGGAATAGCTAGGAAGCAGAGGAGTAGAGGGGCTCTTCATCCAGATCACATAGACCAGGAATAGTGGAGAGGTGGATCCCTACCTTAAAAATTGGGGATCTTCCTGGAAATAGAGTAAATAAATGACCAGTATTTGTATCAGTTATCTCTTGCTCCAATAGTGCTGTGTAACAAATGACCTCAAACCTCATGGC